TTTTTTTTTTTTTTTTTTTAAATAGAATCACTGTGACTTGGAGTTGACTAGGTAACAATGGGTATAATATATTCCATAAATAGAGAAATAGTGTATTTATTGAAATTGTTTCTAGTTATTTGCTATTTCAAACAGTGTCCAATAAATATCCTTTATTTGCCTCTTTCTAGGAAGATAAAGTCTTTCCAGGGAATGGAAGTGCTGAGTTAGAGTGAATGCTGTTTTAAGTAGTAATAGATATTGTTACATTACCCTCCAGAATGACTATGCTGCTATTAATGTATAAATTCCTGCTTCCCTACACTCTGCTAGCAGACTTCCATTTTTGCCAATCATTCACAGGTAAAAGATGGTATTCAATTTCAATTTGCCTTTCCATGGTTAATAGAGTTTATGTTTAGTCACCATGTTTCCTTAGGCTCTTGTTGGCTGTGACAGTTTCTGAGATTTTTCTTGTCAGTGTCTTGACATTTTTGGGGAGTTCTAGTCAGGTATGTTGTAGAACGTTCCTCAACTGAGATTTGGCTGATGTTTTCCTTGTGATTAAACTGGCTTTTGGGAAGGAAGAACACAGAGGTAATGTGCCATTTTCATCTAATCATATCAAGGGATGTGCTGTCAACATGATTTATCACTGTTGATGTTAATCTTGATCATCTGGTTGAGACAGTGTTAGTTAGGTTTCTCCACTGTAAAGGTAATTTTTTTTTTTTTTTTCCATGTGAGAAGGTTTTGAGTACACATTCAGTTTCTTTAATGGGTAGAAGGCTATTGAGGTCATCTCTTTCTTCTGGAGTGAACTTTGGTTGTTTATGTCTTATAAAGAATTTGTTCATTTCATCTAAGTTGTCAAATTTATTGGCATAAGGTTGAAAATTCTATTATGATAATTTTAGTATCTATAGAATCTATAGTGTTGTTACCTCTCGTTCCTGAACTTGATCATTTGTATCTTCTTTCTTCCTCTTTTATTTATTTATTTATTTAATATATCATTCTGGTTATAGATTTATCGATTTTACCCATCTTCTTATTTACTACTCCTGCCTGGAGGCAGATGCCTGGGCTCCCAGGTACTTGGTACAAATGAGTGATAGGAAGACTCACCTGGCTGCTTTTTTCCCAGAATGTTAACCAGTCATCCAGCTTCCAGTATCCACTTGTTCTGAGCTTCGGACACTCTCAGAACCCACTTTTTAAAGGGTCCCTCTTCAGGATCCATTTTGAGCTTCGTTTCCTTCTTCAGCTGTCTTCCATCTTTCAGATATTCCTTATAATATCTAGTCCACCAGTGATGTTTGTTCTTGTTTTCCAACATTCTATAGAAGTTAAAAAAAAAATCTCTTTCTTGGTTGTTAGAGATTGAGTACATGAAAGGAAGGCTGCAGTCAAATACTCAATCTGCCATACTAATGCAAAAGTTTCTCTCAGAGCCATTCAATATCATGTGTCTCACTGGATCCATCTCTTTGTTCACCCAAAATGGTTTCAGGTGTTTAATAGGTGTAGACTTAAATAACTTTGAATCACATTATAAGTAATTGTTTTGTAACTCTCTTTCAGTCATTCTGATTTCAAGGAGATAGAGCCACAGTTTTGTGCTAGCTTATTTTTAATATCCAATTTTAACCAAGTTTATAGGCCTTAAGTTTAAAGCCTTTTGCAGGCAAGTATACCTTGTTTGAATTTAATAAAATTGTGTATTTTCTACCACAATTACATTTATGGTTAGTCGCTTTATAGCATGTGGCATTAGTTTTCAATTTACATTTTTGATGTAGCATTTCCTTTAAGGTTATTTGTAGAAAATTGATTTCATTAAAATATTACCTAGAGGATACTCAGGTGCAGTATAAGTCTCTAAGACTTATATTGTATTAGGGTAACTGTCTAGGAGTCCCTGGATGGAGCAAATTGTTGAAGCACTGGACTAATAGCTAAAAGATTAGCTGTTCGAACTCACCCTGAGGTAGTTGGAAGACATGCCTAATGATCTGCTTCCAAAATCTCACATCCTTGAAAACCCTATGGAGTAGGTCTGTTCTGCACACATGGAGTCACCATGAATCAGAATTGGCTCAGTGGCAACTGACAGTAATAATAGCTTTTGTCTAAAAAGAAAAAGAAAAGAGAAAACTCCATGGTGCAATGCTTTTTGAGACAAGATAGGATTTTATTTCCCACTCATGTAATAATCCAGGAAGAATATTTCAAAAAGGTAGTGGCTCTACTCCATGAAGTCACTCAGAAGCCTAGCATAATGGCAGTTCTGCCACCTATATCAAGTGGCTTCCAAGGTAGTGCTAGTTGTTGCCACACCAACCAGCAGAAAGGGGAGAAAGAACAGAAGTCCAAGCTAGACATTTCCTTTTAAGCCAGTGAGGTAGAAATGGCACATTCACATTCTAGGAGTGAAAAAGCAATTGGCCACTCACCTATTTTGGTCATGTTATCAGAAGGGACCATTCCCTGGAGAAGGATATCATGCTTGGTAAAGTGGAGGGTTAGTGAGGGAGGGGGTCCTTAACGAGATAGATTGGCATAATGGCTGTGATGATAGGCTCAGGCATAGCAAGGATTGTGAGGCTGGCACAGGACTGGACCGTGTTTCGTTCTGTTGTACATAGGATCTCTATGAGTAGGAGCCGACTCGAGAGCACCTAACAACAACATTGGTCACACATAGTCGCAAAGCCAACTGGGAAATGGAGACTCTTGCTGGGCAGCCACAACTTAGTTCTAGTGGGCAATATCCAGCAGGCACTGGTCCACGCAGTGATGGAATCCAGCTGGACAGGCATTGTAAGGACCTCTTACCCTGGCAATGAAGGAAATTTTTTCATTAGATCCTGGTTCTGTTCTCTGGAGGGAAATCTCTTGTCCATTATCCTGTGGGTCCCTGGATTTGCCCTAAGATGACTTTAATCTCTTCCAAGGCAACATCTGAGTGGGCTTTGAAAATCTGCTTTCTTTAGGGATTGTGCAGATTTCACAGGCATTGCTTCTGAGGGTCCGTGAGGGTCTTTTTAAGGTCAAGTAGTTGCAGACATTTCCAGATTAGATTGTACTTTCTTTCATAATCCAATACCTTCAAAAATTGAATGAGCTTCTGGTCTGTATACTTGCAGGCAGTCCTGTGTGCCAGTAATCACAAAGTTCTTTTCTAGATATTGTGTGCCGAGCCAACTCTTACTCGTAGTGACCCTATAGGACAGAGTACAACAGCCTCATATGGTTTCCTTGGCTGAAATCTTTGCTGGAGCTGATTGCCAGGGCTTTTCTACCACAGAGTGATAGCTGCCTAGTGCTTA